TGTAAGTCATAAACTAACGGTAGGACCAGAAAATTTAAGGGTATAGACCGCGCGAAATGCGCAACACCATGGATCCCGTTTGTGTGACGTAGTAGAACAAGGAAGATTAAATAACAACGAAGGACGAAGCTTCGGTTAGAGAGAGAAAGCTGCATTGCACACGGAAACAGTCACATGCTTGTTGCTTTCTTACTAGCCATCCTTCGCGTAGGGTAGTATTCTACGTACCACTGTATTTGTACTTCGTAGTCGTGGTCTTGCTTGGAACGTAGTGACTCTTTTCTTAAGTATTCTTGCCGAAGTACTTTACGAGGCATTTGAACAGTAATATGGGACGAACAAGGACCGTACCAATACCTGCTCAGACGTACCCGTAGCGTATGAACAAAAATTAATGTCTCATACTTTCGTGTCTTGCTGGTATGTCTCATTGTTCGCAACTGCTTTTCCATCGTGAGCAATGATAACAAATGCCCCTAAAACTTTCAATGCTAAAGTTGAAGTTGAAGTTCCAGCTCGAAAAAGAAAAATTTCCTACTAGTTCATCGAAAAGTTTTTCGCTCCACTCCCTTTGTCTTTTCACCGAGCCTTGTTGAAGTAGTTTTAGGAAGAATGGCACTACTTTATCTATAGCTTGGTATTATTGCCCTACTTTGATTCCACCGTAAGTGAAATGGAACAGCGCGGAAAGGATTTATGGGCTCACTATGACAAGCGCTAATCATTATTTTGATGAATTGATCAAACGGTGTTGACGGTACGAGTACGTGCTCATGTACCAACTGTTATTGTTTTCTCATGCAACTGGGAAAAGTTCGCGTAATTCCTCACGACATCTTTCCTCATAAATTCCAAAACCGTTAGCAGGAGATACATTACATCAACGATCTTCGCCCATCAAAGATTTTGTGCAATGACAATGATTAACTTTCGACCCATGCCGCTTAGGAAGGTGCCCGGGTCGGAATACAGTCCATATGGACGGTCTGTAGTGTCAACCAGCTCATCCTTTTACAAGGAAGATTCATCAAAAGAACGTGACGATGTCGGTATTCATTCACAAAAAATACGACGACAAAACATTTTCCGAAGACAAAGTAGTCAAGAGCTAGGGAAACAAGAATCATCGTCTACGGACCACACCAATCTCTATCCCACGTCACTACATGGCACCGATTCATCCACGGCAAATACGAGTTTGAGTACCGAGCATCACACCTTCCAAAAAACTGTTACGTTCGAAAAAACCGCTAGAGTCAAGAGGATTAAGCCTCGCCACTATTATACCGAGGAACAACAACGAGAAATATGGTACCAGGACAACGATTATGTAGAAATAAAAAAGCGAGCTATCGAAACTGTCAGAAGGATGATGAAGGGCGCAAAATCCACAATAGGGTTCACAGATGATGACGATCATACAGCTAGAGGCCTCGAATGTCGAACAAGGATAGCTGCAACAGAACGAAAAGAATTCAAAGCATATGCCCGTATGCTTGTTCTAGACGAACAGGAAGATCAGAATGGTTTGGGTTTCAAGAATGATAACAGAATAAGGAAGATGTACCTGAAGGCGAGTCTAGTTTCTTCTGCCAAAGCCCAAACGATGGGGCAAAAGGATGCAGAAGCTGCAAACGACATTAGTTTAAACGATGTGCTCAAGCTAGTACGACACGAACAGAATTGTTCGTTATAGGATATTTTTGTTTAAAAGTGGCATTTGTTTCAAAAGATCTCTTCTTCTCGACCACCCTACAATATATTTGTATGCGCACGCACATACACCAAATGAAGATCAAAAGTTGGATTGCTGTTTGAAATTTTATTATGGTGCAAATAAAAAGTTTATTTTTGAACTTGATTAATTGATTTCTGATGTCATGACTACTGGATGATGACCATTGACTTTTCCGCTGTAACTATCGACAGGACTTTCGCCAATTGACGACATAAAAAGAGCACAAAAGTTGAGATAAACTTATCCCCTAGAATTAACGCACTTAAAATTTCCATTGGCAGCCTACAACAATCGTCAATGTGCTACAATGCTCAGGGGAGAGTGGCGTCCTGAGCAGGTAAGTCAACGTTAGCTTGCGGTAAGTGAACCCATCTCAGGTGATGCTGTCGTGCAAGGAGGAAGCGCTGTTTGTCTGCATTCATCTTCTTCGCCATCATAACGCTCACCACGACGGCGATGATAACGAAAAATATCCCTGCTGTAATCAGACAGCACGTTGAGTTGCGCCAATTACTATTAGCAAGATCTGCGGTGCTGTATTTAAAACGAGGCTCCTCGTCATCCTCGTCGTCACTAAGGTCATATTCTCGTCCGTATTCGTCCATAGGCTCGTCATCCCCCATTTCACTCATGCCGTCATCATCGTGTTTTCTATAATCCTTGGCCACGTGATTTCTCCGGTGGCGGTAGCGATCGTCGAAGCTATCGCCATCATCGTCGTATTCTCTATTTCTCCGGTCGTCATAGCTTCTTTGATCGTCGTCGTTGTGTTCTCTATATTTTTTATTATAATGATTTCTTTTTCCAACAGGATCTGATGGTGATTGCACTAGCTTTTTCTTTTTCTTCTTTTTTGGAACTGCATTGTTATCACCTTTATCATTGCCATCAGATGTAGTCATTTCCGGGGCTGCAGACTTTTTTTTGGTCTTGTTTACGTTCCTTCTACCTTCGGAAGTGGATACTGATAGTCCATTATCGTCACCATCCACACTAATCTGTGACAACGCAGGCTTCGGTTTCTTCTTCTTTTTCTTCTTCAATGGTGGTTCTTCCGACATGCTGATAGGTGACCGAATGCTTTCTTGCGTGAGTTTTCTCCTGTCGTTTTTACTCGTCTACTTGTGATTGCTAGTGGCGATCTTTTCTCTACTCGCTGGTCTTGATTCTAATTGCGGTACGATTGGAAATACGCACTTGATGTCATATGCTCGTGTCTGAAATACAGTATTACGGTAGTCTGCCGAACGTACCGTACTATTACTATTACTTCGTACTGTACATCATCTAATCCAGGGGTCTAAATTATGACCCCTGATCTACAGTAATCTACGGTACGGAACGTCCATCGTACTTCGTATTTAGAATACGAGTGTACACATAGGGCTACTGTATGGCATCTCGTACGGTCCTTATGTACAATATTTGCTCCTCTTAAATACTGTATCTTCGATGAAGTATCGTATTGACCAAATTATGACTTTTGTGACTCTTGTTGAGACTATGACCCATGTAAGAACTCATTGTTGTTTTGGGATTTCTGAGCATAACGTACGGTACTACATACTCCTAACGTTGGGTTGTTAAAGAATTATTGTGCAGTAAAATAAATTCGAAGCACCCTACTGTACCTTACTGCATACTACCGAAGTAGAAAATAGAGTACGAAGTACTTCCTCTAACAGCATTTTCGTTCTACTTACATGGTTGTTCTAATTAGGAGTACCATGCGGCTTTGTATTGCGAGCTTTCGATCTTGAGCAAAAACGCTTCAAATACGAGTACAGTACTTCTACTCGGTACGTTACTTGTTCTGAATACTCTTTCCTCTAGTGTTGGATTCTAATCCCCTCTATTACAACCAAGTAACGCCACCATGTCGAACTCAAAAGACATCAGTGTCGATGATGAAAACCAATGGATGATCGATGACTCGAACATCGATAACGACGGTTACAGTGGAGGTGACAGGGAAAGTAGCGATTACGATGCGGTAGACAATCCTGATTACTTTAACGACGAGCAAAATTCTTCGAATAGAGACTTAGGGGCATACGACGATTCTCAAAAATTCAAGGAGGATGGGGGCACTAGAATGGAGATCAGTGACGAATGGTGGGAAGGCAGAGAAAAACTAATAGCAATCGTTGCAGTTTGTTGGTGCTGTCTGTGTTTCATCATTATCGGGGTCGTTGTGGGTATCCTCGTAGGAGGAAAGAACAAAACGAGAGGTCCCGGTGCGACCCCTAGACCTACTCTTCATCCGACTCTTGCTCCGCAACCTCTCCCTCCCTCTCTAATATCGATTAAACCAACTGAAAGAGTAACCCAATTAACACTGACAGATTCCCCAACGTTTGAACCAACATTGTTTCCGACAATTTCACCGACAGTTTCCCCAGCTCCTACTATATCAATTCCAGAAACCTTGGGTGTCATTGCGAATCAGGACACGTTTGTGATTTTGAATGGGCACCATGACATAATGGGGGAGGAGCATGGAAAAATGGACACTTTCGTGGTTCAAAATGGCCCCGTGAAAGACGAAACTGTACCGGATACCGTTGCATTGATTACTTTCCCTTTTGACGCTGTCCCTGCGTTTAGTAGACTTACTAACTTACCGGTAAGCGCCGCACTACGACTTTATCATGTAGTGCCTGAAGAAAGCCGAGGTACGGCCACGTATACCATTGTTCGCATACCAGAAACAAGAATGGCGATTGAATATTTTCACGGATTCTCTTTCCGTCCACCTGAGGACGATGCCGATGGTGTTCTGGTTGGACCTTCTTTCACGGTGAAACCTGATGACGAAGTCGTCGACATTGATGTTACAGAGGTCTTATTTGAGTACGAGTTCGAACCCGAAGAAGAACCCAACCAGATGATGCTCATGATACAGAATCGGGGCCCCGAACAATTGCAAGGTGGTGATGTATTTTACTCAAGGGAATCTAACACTCCACCTGAGCTTTTGATCGACTTTGTCGGAGGTGATCCGTCAGATATTACAATTGTTAATTTACCCGGAAGATGACAAGAATCGAATGATTTCGTTTTGGAAAAATCAACAATCTGCAGCTTCAAGGTGTTGGGACCCTAAGAATATATATCATGATCGTACTACGAGCTTTCGTACTGCATCACGGGTATGCATCATACTTGTCAACGATGTAATGTTTCCATGCTAGAAGGGCATGATATGGCAGGGAACTCCCCAGGTACAACATCATTTTTGAACTCCTAAATTGTAGTCTATGTATGAACTTACATCGAAATGAAAATGGCACAACGATAGATAAATTAGACAGGTATTGAAAAGAAGTATATAGTATATGTTGGTCTTTCAATGAACATAATGTTGCAAAGTGGACAATCATGACTGCGTTTGAACATAAGATCAGAACCTCCTATCAAGACCTCTTCCTAGCCTTCGCGATGCATTGCTCAAACGAGCCAGAAGCACCAGTTGGAGGTACCAAAAGTTCAGGGGGGGTCAGTTCTCCTCTTAAACTTATCCCCATCAATTCCTCATTCTGCTGGTTGGTGAAGCCACGGCGTCCAAAAAGATATGCACATTTACAAGCAATAGCTTCTAGCGTCATATCACCTGCTGATACTGCTCCAGCTTCTAGCAGGGCTCGACCTGTGGCATAGTGCCCTAGTAGTACAGACCCGGTAAAGCATTGAGTTGATGCTATAACCATAATACCTTGTTCAGTTGCATCCGCCAGCAATTTGATAAAGGATTCTTTAACGCTTGGAAGATTTCCTGTTCCATAGAGTTGCAATACCAACGCCCGTAATTGTTGCTCTTCCATGTTGCTCTCGATTAATCGCCGAATCATTGAATCGTCAAATCCAGGTACGAGTCGAATTGTAAGTAGACGTGTATCCATACGCAGATGAACACGTAATGGGCCTTTTGCAGGCGGTAACAAGACGTGCTCGTTTTCGTCGATAGAAATTCCGATGGTAGCTAAAGGATCCATATTCGGCGAATCAAAAGCCAGCAACTTATGAGTATTGACTTTGGTGGTGCGATTGGCTCTCAACAGCCTGTCGTGAAAGAAAATACACACTTCGTTGATACTATCTCTAGAGGCAAAAATCATGGCCATGATTAAATTTCGTCTCGCATCATTTTGTGGCATGCAAAGTGGAATTTGTGATCCCGTAAAAATCACAGGTTTGTTCAAATTTTCCAACATGAAACTAAGAGCCGTTGCTATGTATGCCATCGTATCAGTCCCAGTTAAAACTACAAAACCATCGAACTTAAAATAATTGGACTCGATATCTTTCGCTATTGTTACCCAATCTGCGGGTCCCAAGTCGGCTGAGTCTAGGAAGGGAGAATATTCATGGAGAACATAATCCGGCATTTCTGGATTATCCTCCTTCAGTTCAACCATTTGACTCATGTACTTAGATATAGCACCTTCAACAGGAGCTAGGGCTCCTTTCTGTTTTAAATCCGGTGCCATGGTCAGTGTTCCGCCTGTACACAAAACAAGAACGCGTTTTTTTGCACAACCCTGACCTTCATACAAAGCATTTTGGGGGATAAAATTGGATTCAGATTCATCGAGTACTCCCGCGGGACTTTGTAGTGGCTTGCAAACAAGGTTTTCGATGTCGTCAGACAAACCTCCGAAAAATCTTAATTGGAAGTAACTTTTCTGACGTCCTCTTGCACGCGCTGTTGCATTGGACGGCGTCGCCGACGGTGACGAAAGAAAGGTCCCAAAAGGATTCCGATGGCAGGCGGTGATACACCTTCCATTTCCTTGGTTGAGAACAAACTTTGAAATAATTCTAAACGACATATTTCTTCTATTATGATTTGGAAAAATCAACCGTAGTGATGAGATCAGGAATGGGGCAAAACTCGGATCATCATCTTGAGGTATCAAAATATTCTGATCTGAAAGTACAAGTACTCGTAGTACTGGACGAGTACTTGTACCGGTACTGTGACATCTGGTACCGAACCTCACATTTTTTTTATTTTTTTGAATCTAGGTTTTATCTGCGTCACATGKGGTCCTTAAAACGAGAACTGGAACTTTCAGCATGAAAATAATTTAAACTGTAACTTTTTTCGAAGGCTGTTGTAAAATTAAATATAAACTTACTTAACCGTAATTTAAACTTACTTAGAACAACTTTTCCTAATTTCTTGTTTTCTTACGGCAGCTTCGGCAGCTCAAATTCACCAAAATAAACAGTAATTTCATTCCTTCAGCTCAAATTCACCAAAATAAACAGTAATTTCATTCCTTCATCACCGGCGCTGGCAAATAAGTGGACCCGTATGGCCAAATTACGGCAGCTCAAATTCACCAAAATAAACAGTATTTTCACCGTAAGACTGGAGCGAATGAAAATACTGTTTATTTTGGTGAATTTGAGCTGAGTACCATGCGATCCCGTTTCAGCAGTAGGAGCCTGTGCTGAAATTACTGTTTATTTTGGTCAAGTGAAGCTGCCGTAAGACTGGAGCGAATGAAAATACTGTTTATTTTGGTGAATTTGAGCTGCCGTAATAGGAGCCTGTGCTGAAATTACTGTTTATTTTGGTCAAGTGAAGCTGCCGTAAGACTGGAGCGAATGAAAATACTGTTTATTTTGGAATTTGAGCTGCCGTAATAGGAGCCTGTGCTGAAATTACTTAATGGTCCAGTTATTTTGCCAGCGCGTGCTGAAGGAATGAAATTACTGCTTATTTTGGTGAATTTGAGGAAAAGTTGTTTTTAAACAGTATTTTCATTCGCTCAGGGCCTCTAAGTAAGTTTATATTACGGTTAAGTAAGTTTATATTTAATTTTACAACAGCCTTCGAAAAAAGTTACAGTTTAAATTATTTTCATGCTGAAAGTTCCAGTTCTCGTTTTAAGGACCGCGTCACATGGTAACCGTTGAGTAAAAAAACTTATTCTAACAAACACAAGTTATTTTTTGCTTTAGTACACGCACCTCAAGCTGGTTACAATTGCCATTTGAGTTTTTGTAACTAGTAGGACTTGAAACCAAACCCTTCCCTACCGATATAGAGAGGCCCTTTTTTTCTCCACAATACTACTCATAGTCTAGTTACAAAAAAAGAGGGTCTGGTTAGAAAAAAAGCGCAGTGCACTTGTACTAACCAGGGCTAACACACCTCAACAAGTAAGCTGCTGTTAAGTACAAAAAAGAAAAGTTAATGGGAACTTAGTACAAACTCATGTAGAAAATACAATAGAAATCATAGAAACCAATGTATCAGTATCGGCAACTCGTATCTTATCACACTACCTCTGTATCATATCAGCTCCTCTGTATCAGCGGCTCCAAAGTATGGTATGAGCAACTTGTATCAGCTTCCTTTGTGTCAGCGTCCTATGTATTGTATCAGTGATTTATATCAGCATTCTCCATATCAGTGTCCTCTGTATCAGTGTACTCCATATCAGTTTCCTCCATATCAATGTCCTCCGTATCAGTGTCCTCCGTATCAGTGTCCTCCGTATCAGTGTCCTCTGCTGTATCAGTGTCCTCCATATCAGGAGTGACTCGCATCAGCTCATCGATTGTGCTGGTGTACTGTAACCTTGCACTGCATGGATACATGTAATTTTGATGCTACTACTCAGTTGATTATGTAAATAAATGTGGCATCACATTGGTCTTGAGCTACAAGTACACCAGTCTTCAATACCAACAAGCTCTTGAGCTAAAGCTCTTGTGCTTTATACAATACTGAGGAGTTGCTGATACAAATGGCTGATAAGATAGGGAGGAGCCATTGATACAATGTAATTTGCTGATATGATCATACAAGTTGCTGATATATAAGACTGTGATTTCTATTATTGTATTTTAAGGCACTGAAACCTTCACAGTCTCACTCTTAATGATGCCTTTCTTCAGATCAAAGTCCTCCTCTCTGGTACCAAAATTTACCTTCTGACCAATCAGGATATGGGCCCTGCAAGCCATCTTCACGGACACTGGCATGTCTTGATTTCCTGTTGAGCTATTGATCCTCTTAATAAGCTGCATACTTTGTCTTGATGGATTTCTGACTTGTAAAGAAGGGTCAACTTTTTGCATACTCTTCCACAATGAGATCCCAGTCATCTGTACTAATGGGAAGCCTCTCAAGTATAATTCTCGTGAGACTGTCTCAAATATATTATTTTCTGTTGAAAAAATGAGATCACAATTTTTTTTATCAAGAAATTCTGACCTTCTATGATCATTTTTATCACAATTATTTGTGATTGGTTCCTCTTATCACAAGGGATTTGGGAATTCATTTTATTGTTACTAAAAATAAATCAACATGGTTTCTGTTCCATTCCCTTTGCATTATGAGCATCAAAACATAATTAACACTTGAGTAAGCAACACAGTCAAAATTGAAAATTGTACTGGTACCTCTGTCAGAAAAACACTTAGCAATAAGCATTTCAAATCAGTCTAGGACCCTTAAACACCTACTTACTGCTAGTAGTAGTCACATGGTGTTTCTTGAAAGGATGACCAACCAGCCAGCAATAGAAGAAACAAAAAATCTTTTCTATTTTGTTCTTGGTCTTGGTCTTGATCTTTACTTTAGCATCCAGCATTCTTGGTGGGATAGTGTTTGTCTGCCATCTCACAAGTACTACTAGATGCTAAGGAAAAGAACAACGACAGAGGACTTTACCATTTTGGACCATCATATCCAAGGGCAACAGTCTTTCATTGCATCCCCAGGCCTCCTTACCAACCAAAGCTGGGGTCAGTTGATAACATAACCTTAGATCTGATCAGTTTTGAGAGCAACAAGTTACTTGATTTTGATCAGGCCTGAGGGAACTTCAAAGAGCCCTCTATCAATAGGCTTGCAGGAGGTCTGTCCAAGCGGTTGAAACTAACATTCTTTGTGAATGTAGAGAGGATTGTATGTATGACTGGTAGACAATTATACTAGCAATACCAGCACAATATGAGTCTTCAGCAACAACATTACTGGCAATAATCACAATTCTTCAGCACAAATAATAACATTGGCAATAATAGAATTCAAGAAGTCTAACAGTCCCTTGAGTAGCTTGCTGGTGGTTGTTAGTATGCTTGCTCTGCACCTGTAAGAATGAAATAGCATGAAGGGTCCAACAACTACTAATAGATACTGGCTTGCTGGATACTGACTGACAGGTTTTTGTTGGCTTGCTTGTCATTAAGTTTGCATTGGTTTAGAACTAATAGAGTCAGTTGCTTGTTACTTTCTGACTGACAGGGTAAATGGAGGAGAATGTAACGGGGACTTCAGATCTGTATAAGTGTTATATCAATAGGACCTTTGATCTGCACACAATATGACATCCTCTTCTTTATGGTACCTAGTTGGATCATTCTACTGCCATTGCATTGTATATGTAAACCCATCCTCACACTTGTGGGCCACATCTAAAAAAAAGAATCTAAAAAAAGAAAATATAAACCAAAAAATTTCGGCGAGCCATCAATTTAATAAATATGTTTTTAGGTTGATTTCTTTTCCCGTAGTTTGGCTATCTAGAGATTACTGGCAGCTCAAACTATGGACACAAAGTCGTGTACACATCACTCGCTGACACGCTAGTGAGCGAGTAACGAGTTATGAAGACTTTTTAGGCGCTCCTCGTCTTCCTTGAGTTTTGAGATGCTCAATTGCAAACGATCAATTCTTGATACAGCACCTAACTCTTCCTGCTCACTCAACTTTTTGTAAACTCCTAGTTCAATGCAGGCATTTAGCATGTCACGATGCAGATTTAAGATTCCTGCAGACGTGTTCTTAGCTCGCTTGGCGAAACCACCCGTCAAAAGAGCCAGCTTCGACTCGAGCTTCTCGTTTCTCTTGTGCAAGGCAGATGTAGCTTCTTCGATGGTCTCAAACTCCTGTGCCAAACTTTCAGCCAACAAGGCATTGTCTTCTCTGGAATCTTTCCATTTATTCGAGACGAATACATCTCTGGAAGACGGATTTTCCTTGGCAGAATTCGACATTTCTGCCAAAACCAATCGCATTGCTTGATCCATGGTATTCCCGCTCGGTAGGAGTGATTGCGACCGTTCATTCAAATCTCGATCATACTCGAGTTGTATGAGTTCTTTGGCAGCATCCAACGCTGCTTCAGATATAGGTTCCAAATGTGTTGCTTCCAGAACAAAAGACTCCGTCTTGTCCTGCTTCTTCTTCTTCTTTTTCCCCTTTTTTTCACCACTACCCAGGAAAGGCAGGGGTGTTTCCACCGGAAAGGCAAAGGCATCGTGCTTCAACAAAGTCAATCGTTCTTCGTCAATCAGAGCTTCGGCTACACTTTGATCGCTCACTCCTGTCTCACTAAGACTCTTGATGTCCGGGGGTACACCTACTGGACGAGGTAGATCACGCCGCTTTACAACACTAGATCGCGCTTCATAGAGTTTATCAGCTTCTTCCTGCAATCGACGCTTCTCTTCAGCATCCACGTCAGCCATATCTTCTTCCATGACTGTTTCGACCTTCCCCTCGTGGTCGTCGTCGCCAATGGTGGTAGGTGCCTCTAATTCATACTCAAACTGAGGGGCTGGAAGAGCCGCTAGGGCTTCCTCCAGCTCACGGCGTGCACGTTTAGCGGCTCGCCGTTCGGCTCGTGCCAAATCTCGAATGGAAGATGCAGCGGTCAACATCCCGGCCGTTGTAGAAGTCGCAAACGTCGATGCTCCGACAGAGGCACCATCGTCGGCGAATCCTCCTCGCGACTCGGATTGCGGACGCTGGTTGAGACCAAAGTGATCGCGGGTAACAGCCGCAGCGGAGGACGGGCCGCCTGGTGTCATTGGTCTCGCCCTTGGCTTTCCATCCATGGCCGTGCCGTCATCTGCCTCTCCGAGTCGTTCTTCCAATAAAGGATTCTCTCCGCCCAAAAGAGGTGTCTGCCCACGCTCCAGCATGCGCAAGTTGCTGGCCTCTCGCATGATACTCTTTTGTTTGGATTCGCCGCTGCTTGCGACACCAGACGCCACTGCAGGTGTTCGCATCGGAGTCGGGAGGGGCCGATCAGAATAATCAGCCAGCAGTGTGGATGTTGCACCTTTCGAGGTGGACGCGATAGCAGCGGGCGTTGTCGCTGCTTCTTCCATCTTTGCTAGAGTCTGCAACTCGCGATCACTCAAGGAAGGAGCTGGTAGCGAGAGGGGTCCCCGTTTCCTTATATTCAAAGGATCGTTTGTTTTGCTCACTTGTGCTACCACATAGTCCATGTTCGACTTTTCAAGCGCCCGCAACCGCGATTCTTCTCGTTTCTTGGCTTTTTGTTGTTCCTCGTCTCTTGATCGATACTGCTGTTCGTTCAATTTTTGGAAGTCAACCCTTTTCGCTTGCTTCGCCCGCAGTACTTCTGATCTGACAACCTCTTGCGACACGTCGTGAAAACCTGCCGGAGCTTGCTTGTGAAAGGGAATCTCAATGCCCAAATCAATGTCACCACCTTTCAACCGTCTGCGGGCTTTCTTCTTGGCCTGGCCGGAAATAAGTCCTGCCTGTTTGAGTTCTCGTCGTTTTTGCAGGTCGGCCATTCGTTTGGCCTGGGCCAGCATTTTCTCTCTCGCCTTTCGCTTCGCCTTTTTACCCTGTGTGTTGGCCAATCGCGCCCTTGCCTCCTGAAGCATCTCGATCTCGTCCTCGTCCATGTCGATTGGGTCTGGTCGGGCTGGTTTCGTTTCGGGGTGCGAGTCGATCTGGCCCACCCGCAGGGGCTGTTGACGAATATCGGCAGTTGCACCGGCGGTTTCATCTTCCCCGCTGACTTTTCCGGACGCGGCCGCGGCTTCGTCCAGCAGCTTTTCATAGTGCTCTTGGCATTGCGTAGCTGTCCTCCCAACGAGTGGTCCGATAGTCTTCCATTGAGCTGGCATCAGTTTGGCAAGGTGCAATAGCTTTTCTTCCTCCTCGCGACTCCATTCTACCTTGCGGACGGATGGATCAAGCCACTCGTGCCATCGCGCCTTGCATTGTTTGGCTGTCTTCCGATTCAGGAGGGACGCGACCCGTGCCCATTGTTGCTTTCCGTACTTCTGCACAGCAGCCTTCAGGATCTCGTCCTCCGAGTTCTTCCACACGCCGCCCTTTATGAAAGCACGAACCATGACTGCAAGATTGGAAAATTAACTTTTGTTAATACAGTACTAGACTTCACGATGGCAACTGTCGTGATCCAAATGTTGTTCCAGTCCAACACGATCCCTACTGTATTTCTTGATGAGTTTTTTTGATAGTAAACGTGCGGAAGAGTTGAAAGGGTTATCGTATTTGTTATTATTTTGTTCGTTTTCAAACGAGTTTTTGTGAAGAAGAGGAATCGCCGCGGATGAAGATGTGTTACGCACCGTACAGTACAAGTACAAGTACGAGTACGTTCCGGACGTACGAAGAACACACGGATGAGAAACCGGGAAGTTTTCGCATTACAGTACTAGCTAGATATGATACGATCGTGACGTTCATGTGTTATGTACGGTACGGTAGGACAGTGCCCCATGGCGGAACAGTCGGCGAAGCCAGGCTGATGCAGGGCACCCTCATGGTCGTCAGGGACATGAACCTGCAATTGAGGTTTGGCTTATCGTTGCCCTTCATTCCTCGTCTCAATGTGGTGGTTGTTGTGCCTAGTTTACTGTGGAACTTGCCATAACGCAACACACACAGGGGCCATGAAATACAAGTATATAAGCATTCTTGTAACACCAATCTTGTTCTTGGCTCTGTTGCTTACTAGTAGTAGTAGCCGCAGCACCAGTTCTGTGCTGAAGCTATGCCAAAGAAGCTCTATTATAGCCAAGAAGTGCTGCTGTGAATCATGAACCTAGTAGAATGCCAACCTATTAGGAGCCAGCACCAGCTCCAGGTATGCCTCCTCCCCTCACCTCTCAAAATCTCAGAGTTGCTGGTGTTGCAGTCCATGGTTTAGCTATTTTTTATATCAAGAAGGTGACTGATAAATATATAAATAGTTTGCCATTTCTTTCATTTGAACAAGGTTCTCCCCTGAGTTAGTAGTCTTCAATGCCCACAAGGAAGCCAGAAAGAAGCTCCATAATGACACTTGCTTGGGGGCTCATCAGCACTTTACTCTGTTAGTTTTCTCTGTAGATGGCTTGGCAGATGACCCAAACAAAGACTGTTGCAGCTTAAGAGCAACTTGCCTCCAAGTGGGGGAGGCAATACTCTTGGGTATGTGGCATGGTTTGATAAGGGCTCCTGTTTGCCCTGGCCTGCTGTGCCACAAGCATGTGCCTTACTATGGGTATTTGGTGATAATTGATTGCATTTCCAGGCCAGGTATCAGACTACAATGTGGTCTGGACAATATAAATGAGTGTTTGAATGTGAGCACAGAGTTCATGTATTGGGAATTGATACACAATCAAGATGGTGTTAGGGTATTCCTAGTGTTGTGTGTGTGTGTATAATATCTTTAATTTTTGGGTAATATTGGGAACTCCCTCTAGAGAGACCACTAAATAACAGAAATTATCATCCATGGTTGCCAGAGTCGGTTTTCAGTAACTGGTGTAATTCATAAAGTAATGTGCTGAACTGTTCTAACTTGCAACTATTTGAGTCAGTAGCCATCATGAGTCTCTGAAACAAACTCTTTCAATGGATTCCATTATCAATACATAACATGTTCCAAGCACAAACCACACGCAGGAGCCGAAGGAATCTGTTTTGCCAACCGATCAGGGTCTTCTTCCCAAAGCCAGCCCTGGTTAGACTCGAGGTCTTCGAATGACCCTCGACAAGCTTCGACTAAAAAGCCCACCATATTTCTCACTTGCGATCGTCCAAAACCTTTGGCTTCTACCACAAAGCGTATTTCCCACACAGGAGCCACATCATCTCGGAACCTCACGCGTTCGTAATCCAGACGGGTCACAGTCATCTTGTTATCTCGTGTTTTTCTTGCTTCTTTATGAACAAAAGCAGAAAAGTCGTGCGTCCCTGTTAAGAGTTCGCAGTAATGCGTTAGTTTTGAATCATCTAGAGCCCATGGGCAAATCCAAACCCGGTTGGAATCTAATGCTGTTCGTAATAATTGCGGTCCTCCCTTTAAACAGATAGGGGAGATTGTTTTTCCGCATTCATTATTTTTTACATTTTTTATCTCAAATGTTACCATTTGTCGATATCTCAACATATATGAATACTGCTTACGCTTTGCATCCAGGCGGGGATCGAAGCATTCGTCTTGACATACAGATACATCTTCGATGCTTATGTCGTTCGGCAATCGGCTATTGATAGATTTGCGAATCGTCCACAATTTTTCGCGATCATTTTCATTTTCGTCGCTGATGTTGTTGATTACTTTTTGATCCGAAAAAATTGCACGTGGTAAGGATACGGCAACCACCTGACCCCGTGCGTGGACACCTCCATCTGTCCTTCCAGCAAATCGTAGTTTCAGCTGGAATCTATCCATTCCTGTGTAGAATTCAAGTGCGTCTTCGAGCGTCTCCTGCACAGTTATAGGAACATTGCCTCTATTCTTTATTCTCTTCTTGATTTGATTGTTTGGGCGACGACGTTTCAGAGGATTTGCATCACTTTTGGAGTCGGGGTTTCTACAGGAGGAAGAGGAGGAAGATGATTGTCTCTGAAAGCCCGAATATCTTGCTCCATCATATGAGACGATCAGAGTATACCGCTCCAGAGTATCTATCGATGCTGGATGATGCGGATTGTCTTGGATGTCTTTCATTGCTACCCGTCCTATTCAAAAATGGTCTTTTCAGTTTCAATCGAAAGAACAGGTAAATCGATTTTTGCCCAAATGAGAGATTATGAAGTCGCTTATCGTAGTGCAGTACCGTAGTCGGTATGTGGATGGCCCCACAGTCTCTCGAGAACAGGTAAATTTTTTTGACAGGAATTTTGTTGGCTCAGAAGAACAGTACTACTAGCACTAGTACCTACTTGTACCCGTAGAGTTGTACCTTTACGTCCAAATTGCACATGCTTTTCATCGCCTATCGGTATGTACCAAACAAGACCAAGATACCAATAGGTGATGAAAAGCATGTGCAATTTGGACGTAAAGGTACAACTCTACGGGTACGACTAGGTACTAGTAGTACTGTTCTTCGGAGGAGCCAACAAAAGTCCTGTCAAAACAATTTACCTGTTCAAGAGATACGGTGGGGCCATCCACATACCAACTACGAGTACTACTCCGTCTGAAAATAATAGTACACTTTGCACCTCTTTAGTTGGATTGGTTGCGGCCGCCGCCGTTGTTGTTTTTTTAAGGACGGCGGCAAAAAAACTTACTACACCAGTGCAAAAACTAGGATGTTATTGCTACTAGAATGACTTGTATGTTATTGCTAGAATGACTTGTTGTCACAATAATGACTGAATGTTTAAGTTAAAAATGAATAATCTATTTTTGGTCAAGGTACTACTTTATTTGCAAAAAATGGTATACCAGGGGGGTTTGTACAAATCGACACTAAAAACAAGTTTCTTTTTGTTTCCTCGGTAAGTCCAGGGCTGTAAGAATTCTTCAAAGTTACTGGCTACCACGCACTAAAGTTAGTGAAGTGCAGTGCAGCGCACCGTAGCCAATTAAGCTCAATATTGGGGTGATTGGAAAGGTTCTTTTTGCACTTAACAGATCTATTAGAGTGGTATACACTTATGTTAAGTGTGTTAAGTTTATATCGTTGGTGCTCTCTTTGTAGCTGTTCAAACTACTGTCAGTTGGGCTCTACCGGTCATTTAAGGATGTGAATTACAGCTTTAGAAAGCCAAGACTGAGAGCTTTATCATGATATTCTAATTATGATAGAGAATGTTTCTGTATTGGTCATTCTTGTTCAAAACAGGTGCACTGTACTGTTGTCAATATATTGTTTCCCGCGTTAACAGACTGTTTAATTTCATGTACAAAAATAAGAATTTTTATTCACACACATGCTCATTTCTAGTCTCTAGTACTGTCTCTACACATTCTACCCAGTCATTTGTAGTATCCAACAGCCAAAGACTCCAAAAACTGTTAAGTAAGTACTGCACAATTATTTCCAGAAAAATAGAGTAGTGCAAAGTGTACTACTACTATTATTTTCAGACAGAGGTAGTAAGAATATGTATCGTATGTATAACCCTACATGACATTTTTTCTGAACATAATACAAGCAGCACAACCATTGGGCATCTGGTTCTGTTTGTTGTGGCTGCAGTTCAATGATAATGTTGCAGTACCACAAACTCATACTTGTACTCATGTAATTCTATTTAGTGAATGGGTGATTCTTGTTATAATAAATGTCCTACTTTTGATAGACTGACAGATCAAAAATTTATGACATCTGTAACAATTTTTATTACATTTGATACTGGTCAAATTGGTGGTATCAAATGTAATAAAATCTATAATGGAACTCACAAATCAAATTTTTGGTCCATAGAAAGACTCCGACTGGTTTATTGCTGAAGTAGCTTCTAAAGGAACATTGATTATTCTTGCTGGAGAAGCATCATCTGCTTAAGGGTTGCCTGTTGCTGATGTTGGAGGAGTGGTGACTGTTCCTCCTGCTGCTGGTGGAGCAATGTCACCTTCTGTCTTGACACCATCTCTTGTTGAATACACTGCAACTGCCAAGAAGAGATTATATCAGCAAAAGAAATCCAGTGTTCCAGATGCTGCTGCTTTTAATGAGTACATTAGGAGTCAACAACAAAGAGACAATGAGAATGGTGAGATAGCTAAAGAGGGTAGTCAAATTGCTAAAGATTAATCCTAAATTAAACTGGAGCCATTACTTCCTTGTTCCTTTTGCAGTAGTTCCACTTGTTCCCATTGGTTCCGGTTTTTGGTTTTCATGTATACCCTTTTGTATACAAAAGCATCACTATCCATGAAAGAAACCTGAGCCACTTGTACATCACTGTGGATGTCAAGCCAAGTGCCATTGGCATGAATCTTGCAACAGATCCTCTTGTCCTGTACCAATATAGGACCAGCCCAATACCACAGACTGCATTGACCTCCTTCTTCTTCCCCTTGGTCCCATGATCTTGTTGGCATCATTAAAAGTGTACTTGTTGCAAACATGAGCAAACACATCAACAAGCTCCCTGAAGACCTTGTAGTCTACACCACAACAGTTGAGCAGTGCTTGATCAAGCCCTGAGTAGAAGAGATGGTGAAAGGGGGAATCTGCATATCTCCCATTTGTAAGCTGGGGAGTTCTCCTATCCCTCATGATGCTCTTCTGGAGTGAGTTTTAATAAGTTAGGCTTTCCCCTGTTCCTCATTCAGCTGGATGTACCAGCAGTACATCACAACAACCTCCACCACTCCCATTGTGGCCTTCTTTCTTGCAAGGAGAAAACATTGGTTCAATAATGTGTCTAGTAGCTAGTAGTGCAGGGAACACACATGTTTTTGATACTATGAGGAGAGTATCAAAAATGTGCATGTTCCTTTTACTAGAGTTGTACTGTGCTTATTGATCCAACATTTCATGTTTTTTCTTTGTACCAAGTAGCACACACACACACACACACACACACACACACACACACACACACACACACACACACACCTCTTTTAAGTCTTAAAAGTGTTTACATCAAACTATAGTTAAGTTTCTAGACTCCCAAAAAGACTAAGACAAAGCCCGCCTTCCTTGCCATCTGTATGTTGAAAAATTGATTCCTGCTAATAGAGTTGCTAGATGTGCTAAATATGGCTGTTTAGCCATTCTGTAAATGGGAATCACACAATGAAGGCATTACTCTACTGGTACTGTAGGTGCATCTTGCAACTAAAATTGCATTCTGATTATTGCCTCAACAGCAACAAAAACTCCTCGTAAATTGGCCTATGGCCCAAACACTCATACTGTTACTCTTACCCCTATTTTTGAAACTGTAATGACTTCTTTGTGTGGTCATTTAGTAGAGAAAACAGTATACCATGTTTTAATAGAGGTGGGATTCAGTCACCTCTGAGATAACACATGTACAGAGTGCACTAATGCAACTCTTTGGCACCCATCAAGGAAATGAGAAGAGGTGCAAACTCATTTTTACTTTCTCACAATTCTTTTATAAGAATATCTATTTTTATGGCAAGTACCTACTACCAGCAGCATTAAAACCATGTCCTCACCAGCACCACCACCACCAGCACCAGAAGAACAAGTAGTACAACAAGAAGGACGTGGAGGACAACAAGGAAGGGGACAAGTAGACATGATCCCACCCCAACTTGTTTAGACTTGCACTTGAAGCAGCATTGGAAGAAGCTGGGGAATCTCCACAACAAGGACAAGGACGTGCAGAACAAGATACTGGAAATGCTGCTGGTGAAGAAGAACAAGATGATACTGAGGAAGATTCTGCCTTGGTAGAGCTTGGTACTAGAGTAATGGATGATGCTGAAGCAAACAGCATTTCCACCCGCAGCATCGCCACCAGTATTGTTGCCACCAGCAAGAGCTTGGTGAAGAACAACCACAACAACCTGTTGACAATAATGACAGTGCCAGCACCACTACTTCAACAAGACAGGAGCAAACAAGGCCTTGTAGTGGAGGTCCTCCTAAACCTCCACCAGGTGTGAATATTCCTGACCAGTGGTATGATTACTGGAAAGTATTCCTTGATTTCATGGATTTTGTACATGAAAGAAGATACGGAAGAAGAGATAATCCTCCCACTGAAGATACAAGATTTGCTAGGGACCATGTATTCACTGATGCTGAGCTTGGTGGCCTCACTCTTGATCATGTGTATTGTTTCCTTGCTTTACAGGCTTACAAGAAGGAGGATCTCCTGATGGCAACCCTATAAATGCTAGATCAACTACTAAGAAGTCTATTTCATTTTTAAATTCCCAACAAGAAGAGTATCAAGTGGACTGCGATTCAAGGAATTGGTCATGGTAACATAACCCAATCTTCCAAAGTGAATAATTTAATTGCTTCATTCAAGCTGAAGGAAAGATGAGGTCTTCTTGGGAAGGAAACCCAAATGGATGGAGCTCTCACAAAGGGCGAATTCTTGCAAGCACTTGAACTTATGGAACAGCATCATGGTAGTTTGATAAACAGGAGAAGGTTTAAAGCAATGGTGATGTTGACCCAGATGCACTTCATGGGTCAAATGATGACATGGCTCATATAACAAAGAATTTTTTGAAGGTTTGCTCTAGATTCCCTGCATTTTTGACTTTGAAAATGAAGTGGTCCAAGAATGTGCAAGAAGGCAGAGATTGTCCTGATCAGATCTTGATGGGATCAATGAATCAGAACTCATGTGCAGTACCGTACTTGCTTTAGCATTATTCTTGGAGAAGTGGTGCTAAGTCATGTGAGGAGAGAGCACACCTAAAATATCACCATGGTGGTGGTGATTTTTGTTGGAAGGGTGTCAAAACCTGTGGGAGTGACTATCTAGTAATAGTGATGTAAATTGAGTGCTAGAAGAAAAGTGAGTCAATGCTCATATTGAGAATTGACAAACTACTATGAAATCTAAGATCAATCAGAATGAAGATTGAGTGATGTATGTGAATCAAATGAGTCAAGTCAATCACGTGGATTAATCAAATGAGTCTAGTCAATTGTGTGGATCCACAGGATCAAATGAGTCTTGAATGTAGAGTGTGTATGAATGATAGATACTATGTGTCATAGATACACATCACAGATATGGATCATACCCACAATATGATATCCTACGGACTCATGGAGCAATCAGTCAGTGGCTATTTACTAAAGGGACCACAGATGTGAGGTCACCAATAAAAATTATTGGTGTTGTTCCAGACAATACCAGAAGGAATGTGATGGCTTCATTTATTCAGCTGAAAAAAGAGTCAGAACTAATTGTGGTGCTAGTATTGTTGTTGATGATGGTGCAAATCCTATTTTGGTTGGATGTTTTTCTGTGATGGACTGGATGCATTGCTTTGAACACATTGGTTGGACACATTGGTTGAATGCATTGCATAAATGTATCTGTTGCTGCAATGGAAGCGTTGCTTCAATGCTGGCTGCATTGCTTTGATGGACACGTTGCTCTGATGGACAAGTTACTTTGCTGGTTGCTTGGACTGCTGCTGCTGGATGTACTGCTTTGATGTGCTTTGACACTGCTGGAGAAGGCTGGTGGATCCTCCGTGTCATTGTTGCTGCATTCTTATTGTTGCATAGTCGTTGCTGTTGCCTCTACGTTGTTGTGTCATCTTTGTCAAATCATCATTATAGTATTTGTTCTTTGTTGTCTGTACTACTTGCCCCCCTCCTTATATCAACAACTTCAAATTGCATGCTGCATTTGTTACTGTGACTGCTTTTTCTGCCTTCTATCCTCAACAAGAGGAGCAACTTTGATAGCTGACAAGATGACCCATTGTCGGGATTGTCAATTGTTTACTAGAATTAGTACCTTCACAACTTTTTTCTATGGAAATTCTATGGAAATTTACTTCTTGAAAATTGTGTGAGTAATTCTTCTCAACTGATGAGCATCAGTCAAGGTTTTTCATTCTATTCTGGCAAGTAGAATATTACCCATGTGCACGGATGTACACTTCTTGGAGATAATTTCCTACAGTTGCAAAATTAGTTGCATTTTTAGGTTTATCCGCACGGCACGGTACGAGTACGGTATGTAATATAACTGTGGCGTCGCATGGTCCGCTAGCTCGAGAGCGCACAATACAAAAACTCTTCACACGATAATTACACGGAGCTCAACAGAGTACACATTCTGGTTACATTTATGGTACACCAGTAACATCACTGAGGCCGAGAGCTTGCTCGAGACCGAAGTGAGGTTACTGCAAGTATATAGCTCGAGAGCTTGTTGTTGTTAGTGTTGAAGATACTTGTGGCGTGGGACCGATGCGACTCCACAGTTATTTACGTAACCGATTGAGTAGCATCGAAATTACATGTAACCATGCAGCGCGAGGTTACTGCTGCACTGCTTATGGAGGACGCTCGCTTGCTGATATGGAGAATGTTGGTGATACGGAGGATGCTCACTGATACGGCATCCGCTACTAATACGATAGTACGGAGGAGCCGCTGATACGATACGATACGAGTTGCTGATATGATACGGAGGAGCCAGTGCTGATACGATACGGAGGAGCCAGCGCTTATTCGAGTCGCTGATATGGAGGACGCTGATACGAGTCGCTGATACGATATGGAGGACACTGATATGATACAGAGGATCTGTTGATACAATACGGATGCTGGTGTTTTGCTTGTTTTTTTGCTTGTTTCCCCCTGCAAATAAATATTTGTACGGTGTTTTCTACATGAGTTTGTACTGGAATAGCAATCAAGATGAGTTTTTGAGAACTGCTCGTACAAGATACTGTGTACAATTACTGATACTATGTATTTACAGTAGTGAAGACAGTTTTTTAGTGTGTACCTGTTGAGGTGCATGGTGCGCCTGTGCGCCTGGTTACAAGCGCGCACAAGGGAACCAGTGCGCCTGTTTTTGTAACCAGACCCTTTTTTTTGTAACCAGACTAGTAGTAGTATCGTGTAAAAAATATGGGCTCTCCTTAGGGAAAGGTTTGGTTACAATTCTGGTTACAAAAACTCCACTCGCGCGCTTGTAACCAGCTTGAGGTGCGTGTACTTAGGCAAAAAATAACTAGTCTTTGTTAGTGTTAGTTTTTTGTAACGCAGTAACCAAGCGGGCGTGGTTACATGTAATTTCGATGCTACTCAACGGTTACGTACCGAAACGTGATCGCGTACGGTACTGTATTCAGTTCTACTGTACGTAATTGACGAAGTTGACAATAGTATTGTAACATGCTGTACGATGCAGATAGATAATATTAGTTATTATTATTATTACTACTACTATTTTTTAGCATCTTCCGATTACAGTAACTCTTGTCGTATCGTAATAGAAATACAGTACGAACTGTACTTTAATAGTGAATTGTACGAGTACTTTGTATTGAAGTATTTTACGTATCTTCGAAGTATTAAAAACCTGAAACCAAGTCTAGAAATATATCACTAGGGCATAATAATTTAAAATAAAATATGATTCCAAAATACCAACATCATACCGTGGCAAGCAGGGGTCGAGTGTGCTCTCCAGACATCACTAAATAATGGTCACCAGATCTTATTTTGTTTTACAAAGCACTGAGATTACGTCTGATTTTTAAAACCTTGACATCCCCCAACGATACTTCTGTGCGATACCGTTCTGTGATCCAAAAAAAGAAAGATAGTTTTTCGTCTCAGTTGTTACATCCAGTGTGAATCAGAAGTTGACATCTTGTACTCACAAAAAATCCTTTTAACGTCAACAATGTTCTTTCAAATTTCTCTCGGTTTCGTAATCGCTCTGCTGGCCAAAGGTATGGTTGTAGACAGTTTTGTATTGAGCAATGATGCTTGTGTTCATGGAGGTGATCTCAACTGAGCGTCTAAAAAGTATTCAATAATGCCTCTGCTAACAATTCTTTTGGTCATCTCCTCTTCTCAGGCGATGTGCCCAAGGCAGACTACTACTATCACCAACCAGACTTATCCCCCGCAATGTGGGTGTTCGGAACACAKGGTATCTTCATTTACAATGAAGATGGTTCTGAATTGAAGAAGCACCTTCCCGCCGAGGATATCTGCCTTCCGATCACAGATGAAGAGACCGGGGAATCCAGCCACTCTTGTGCTTGGAGAGGTGTCGTTTCAGATGGATCTAACAATGTATGGGCGACCAATACGAACGCTGGTTCATTTGTTGAAGTCTTCAACATAGACCGAGGTATGCACGTTGCGACTCTCCCTACATGTGGATTTCCTTGGAATATCGATTTCAATCCTTTGAGAAACGAAGTCTGGGTTCATTGCTGGTCCCCAAAGGAAGAACTTGGTGACGAAGGACATATAGATGTATTTTCTACTGCGGCCTTGAGTTTCAACATGGACCAGATTGCCCTCGGTGAGCTCCAGGTTCATGGTCATGGAACGGTTGTGACCGACTCCTCGATGCCCAACATTGTCTACGGTAACACTCTTGACGCCCCTATTTTGTTCGAAGTCGATGCGAACACCAAGGAGGTCTTGAATGAGCACGTAATCCCAGAGGTATCAGGTCTTTACCGCATGGAATTCTCTCATAGAAACAGTCATATATTCATGAGAGGTTATGTTTGCTGCTCTTGTGGTTTCGAGGGCTCGGATCTAGGCATGGAATGTGGTAGAGGCTCCCCGAAATTCGTTGATGTGGTAACAGGACCGAACCAGTAAGTCACTATCGTTGGGATCCGTTACGAAAAATGATAGACGAAAGAAAAATGTGCTTTGTACTCAATATTGCATTCATACCTTTCCTTGGCCGTATAGGGCGAAAAATGTGACCGGAAAATGCGGGCATAGTTGTGAAGGCTCCCCAGCTGATGTTTTAGGCGTCTTAGAATGGGATACCAAGACCAATGAAATCATTGATTACCACTTGAATAGTCTTGGCTATGCTGCAGATCCATACATCGATCCTAGCGGTAAATATCTGATCATGTTGGCAAATGACGGTGGAAGGGAAGCCACAATCATAAAGACCGGGAAAAACGGAGAACCTTCGGAACAAATTGGAGTTGTAGAGACTGGTTTTTCCGATCAAGATGGCGAAAAAGGTATTTGGGATGTCTGTTTCATCGAAATGGAGGGCTACAATATTGCCATCTTTGTCTCCACATTGTCTAACTTTGTGGTCCTAGCCGATATGAGTCCACTTGAGAGAGGCGAAAAGATCACCACTGAACGAATCTGGCTCGTCGACGACCAGAATGCTGAGGTAACATCCAATCATGGTAGAGGCGCACGTCGAAATTGTGCTTGGGCATTTGGCTCCCCTTATGTATGGGTCGATGCAGGGAAAACCGAGGAGGTTCATATTCTTCAGCTCAACAACGATGGCGGAAAACCCACTGCGAAGAGGATCCGCAATGTCGTCGATACCCCATCTCGCTTCTTGTCCTGGGTATCCAACCACCGCGACGAGAAAATGTTAGCTAAGGTGCAGGCCAATGCCAAAGCAGCACAACCAATGATGGACCCTCTTTCGCCATTAAGTGCTTTTTCAGCCGAAAACAATATGGGAATAGATTTAAGTAATACCCAGGGCGCTAGCTCTATGGACGTTGCAATCGCCGCCCTTATCTTCGGTATCCTTGCCTTCCTTATGAATTTATTCCTTGTATTCAAACACAACAACATGAATAAAAAGGGTGATGTCGACGGAATCGAACAGGAGTCGCCATTATCACAAGACGCCAATCACTAAATAGTGGTTTGACGGTAGCAAATGAGATCATTAGTTTATTGTTTGTTGCTTGTTGCTTGCCCAACTAACTTGAATACCAACACATATACTAGACACTATGAAAATATTTTAGTTGACATCGCCTTTTCTCAAAATATCAATATTGAAGTTTTTAATTGCATCTAGGAATATGTGGGAGCCGTCTTTGCGAAACTTGAAAAGCACATAGCAACAGACAATAAATGGCGAGGTAGCTTTAGAGGAGGTAATGCATGTGACCGACTTCTCCTTCAGTTCAGCATCCAAAGAAAAATGGTGCTTCACCAGTTGGGGATGTTTCTTGACTTCAGATGTGTGACAAAATCGCGATAACGATGTAGATGACGAAGATTTCATAATTGCTGACCCAATGTCGCACTGAAAAATTCAAAACAATTTGGCAAAACCGCTCCAAACACACAGGTTTTCTATCCAGAACTCTTTCTTGTATTTCGTGAACCAATGAAGAACACATAATATTATTATTACTTTATTTGGGACATCTGAAACAAATTTCTGACTGTACTGCACTCTTCTGACTAAGAGTATCGAGGCCTCAACGTGATAGAAAAAAGTCTTTCGAAACTCTATCTTCTTTCTTCACATCATATTGGCACGAAACCAAACTAGTACCTTAAAAACATGCAGAACAACAATTGCATATCAGCTCTTCGCAGTCAGCTGTCAACACCTCAAGGTTTTCTTCACGTAACCAACAAACACTTTCTGGTACACTTCCAGAAAGATTATTCCCTTGTAGAGACACGTCCGTCAAAGTCTTGATTCGTCCAAAACTATTTGGTACGGTTCCAACAAGATTATTATTATTGACGATGAGTTTTTCGAGATTGCCTAGGTTCAAAAGCCCAAGTGAGAGTCTACCATCGAATTGAGCACCACTAATATCCAATTCAACTAGGTTGGTGAGAAAATAAAGCTCGTCCGGGATATTTCCAGAGAGATTTGATTGGCCCACACGAAGCTCTTTCAAGGACGAAAGATCACCCACTGAGGTAGAGATAGTTCCGTCCAACTCGTTTCCATTCAAATGCAAAAACTTGAGGTTGGCCATACCATATATATCCTCTGGAATCGTACCCTTGAGTTCGTTGTGGGCAAAAGATAGCGCCTCAAGCGCTGTGTACCTGCTGTAATTTTCTGGCAGGAACCCTGTTATTGCGTTGCTACTAAGATCCAATTGTTGAAGATACGATGCATCCCCAATGTTTTTTGGAACCGGTCCAGAGAATGAATTGCCGCCAAGGTGGACGAACTCGAGAGGGCTATTGCTAAGATAATTTTCAGGTATACTGCCTTTGAGTTCATTGTCGGGAAGTAGTAGCGATCGCATCGATGTCGCATTCATACCAAAAGCCTCAGGGAGAGTGCCTGTAATTGTGTTGTTGACAATGATGAGATCAGTCAGTTCGGAAAACAGGTACATTTCCGCTGGGAGAGAGCCTACGAGCCCATTTCCATCAGCATCAGCTAAGGGAAAAGATAAGATGATCACGTATACAATACAATAGAAAGTTAAGGTGATCCGTGAAATTTGAAAAAAATGAGAAAAACCGCCACTTCGATTTAAGTCGTAAATGGAAAAATATACGTACCAAAATCAAACGACGTCACCATGCCGTAGCCGTTGCACGTCACAGCATACCAGCCACAAACATCACCTACTAGCCATCGACCGCTTTTGCACTCGTTATCATTCAACGAACATGAGTCCCAATCTCCACCGTTTGTGGAAAAGTAGAACACAGCACTTGCGTATCTCTCTTCTAGCTGCTCACTCGTTGTAAGTTCGTCTGTGTATGGATCGTCCAAAACGAATTTCGCCGCGCGGTACTGAGGTGACGCTTCATTCTGAAAAACTTCCTCGCCAGAAATTGGAATGAGAAAAGTCTTCATAAACTGTCCCCACCTTAGTGTTGTTGGTGTCATTGTGGGCGAAACTGTTGGAACTACAGTCTGTAAAGGTGTACCAGGAGGCTGCGGGGCTCCATTTGTTGTTGACTGTAGAAGCTGGGGGTACTCGATGAAAAAAGGAAGAAGAATCGCAACAATAGCACCGCACGTAACAAAAAGAAGGAGGAGAATGATACATGTTTGCTTGCCGCTGCTTGACTCGTTCTTTCCTTGCGTTTGCTTCGGCATCTTCGATTCTTCCGCTCTTTCCGCTTCGTCGAGGGCTAGGAAAACATCCTGGTCACGATCTGCTTTGTTTTGAGACTTATCTCCATCAGCTTCTTGCACTGAGACGTCTTCATAGCTTTCACTGTCTTCGATGATTTCTTCCACATATTCTTCGACAATTTCGATATCTGTGTCCTGCCCTTTTGGAACCCACGATTCGTCTAGAAATCGGGGGCGAGAATTGTTTGCAACGTTGTTGGAAATTGAGCACTCGTCCAAAATAATCCTAGTAAATATTCACGTCTAAAAAGTTCTTTTTTCAGAATGATTTCGAAATTGTACTTACCCGGTGCCGCATTTGTGTTTGGTGGATCTGGTGGAGATGTCCCGGCAGCTGATGCAGCCTTCCTCTCCTCCTCCTCCTTCAGGGTCTTGTATTGTGCCAATCGGTCTTTCAACGTTCCCGAAAGCATGGTGAATCTCGGATTGTTTCTTTTTCTGCCCAGTTAATCCGTGTGTGTACCTTTACCCGTGTATCGTCTCGGGTTCTGCTTTTGATGATATGTTTGTTGAAACCCTAGTGTTTCGTTTCTGTGTACCGACCTCGCAGATGCAAATTAAGTTCACTCTTTGAAATTGATCTGGATCTACCGATAATCTACTAGTTGAATTTACTCAAAATCGTTTCGACTGCATTAATTGTGCTACTCCCTCCGGTAGTCTGAGTCTGGCCAACGAGAACAGATCAGAATAGAGCAATAATTTAAGAGAAATCTCGGAGGAAATCTTCCAAAACATTTTGACACGACAAGCGCATGGTGCAGTAGATCAACAGGGAAGTCGCGCCGTTAGGCGTTGAGACATCCTATCATTTGAACTGGCAGGCGAAAGGAGACGAGAAATAATTATGAATTTTTGCCATTCGGAAGAGCATGCAGTCCCACTTCGAGCATCGCGTCGTAACCCAACGGTATTTTTCTCTTTTTAGTAACCTAATGAAAAATTAAATGCCAACACATAATAGAATTCAGTTCTTGGACTCCTCAAATAGCTCATGAATGACTACTCCCTGTTGTCATGGCAAAAAGCCAGCAACTATTCCTTTTGGTACTACTGAATATGCCTGGCAACAAACTTGTTGGAATGGAAAAATTTTCACTTTAGTGAAACATCCAGCACCAAGAACAAGAAGTACTAGTACAACTCTTTCTTCTAGTACTAGCACCAGTGCAAGAAGATTACTAGTAGTTCTAGTGGTGGTAGATGCTTGCCGCTGCTGAGGAATGAGAATCATGCTGTTTGTTGTTGTATTGAACAACAACAAGAAGGACTACTGTACTCTACCACAAAAGTTGTATGGCAACATGCACCATCACCATTAGTTCTTGTAGTTCCACCAAGGCACCACCACCAGTACGAGTACTAGTAGTAGTAGTAGTAGTAGTAGTATTACCCCCCCCACCATAAACAAGAAGAGAACAGGTACCAGCACTTACCTACTAGTACTACTACTAGTACTGCTAGTACTATGATTTGGTATTAATACTTGTACTAGTAGTAGTAGTAGTAGTAGTAGCAGCAGTAGTAGTACTAGTAGTACAAGTATTAATACCATTGCAAAGAAAGAAGCACTGGTGGCTTTGATGACAAAATGACCAGTTTGTGTCTGCAGTGTCAAAGAGAAAAGATGCATACTACTAGTACCTAGTACTAGTACTAAAGTACTACTACTACTAGTACTAGTACTAGTACTAGTACTAGTACTA